CCCCCCCCCCCCCCCCCCCTTTTCTGTTCCTTTTTGTTGGGAGCCTTTTTAACCGGGGGAGGATGTCCAGGGGCCCGGGGCCTGGGGGGGAAAACCGTTTCCTTTGGGACCCCAGGCCCGCTTTCAAGGAGTAAAACTCCTGCACCAGGAAGCCGGGGGGGGCCCCCCCCAGGTGGCCTTCCAGGGGGGGCGGTTACTTGGGGGCCCCGTGGGCCCCAAAGGGGCTCCCCCCACCCGGGTATTACGGGCCGGGGGCGGCCCGTTTTTTCTTTTCTTTGGGGGAAGGGGGGAGGGGAGTTGTTTTTCCATAGGGGGATTTAGGTGGTTTTGGGGGGTTTTTTATTTTCCATTGGTGTCAGGGGGGGGGGGGGGGGGGGGCTCCGCTCCTCCCGGTACAGTGTGACAGGTGACGAGCGCGTTCTGCTGAGCTGGCTAGCTAGATCAACACTCACACGTCCCAAGAAGACACCCAACAGCCCAACCCAAACACCATTGTAGCCCAACACCCCAACCCCCACACCCGCACGACACATGACCCTACCGCCGTACCCGACCTTACAGGTGGGCGTGCTGCCCGACCTGCCGGACGAGAGCGTGGTGAAGAAGGCCCGCCTGGAGCCCGGCAAGATGTTCCTCGTCGACCTGGACGTGGGAGAGATCGTGCCCGACGACTTCGTCAAGGAGAAGTACGCCAACCGCCTGCCGTACGCGGAGTGGCTGGAGAAGAACTTGATCAACATCAAGGGCTGGACGGAACACAGCCAGGGCGTCGGCACCAAGGTACGTGTAGTGTTCCCATTTTTTTTTTTTTGTGGTTTGTCCCTTCCTTTTCTTCGCGTCGAGCGCGGTAGCGGGCTGGCTGTTGTGTGCCTTGGAGTATTAACCACATCAACAGCGCAAAATGTGTCCTATGTAATGTGCAATTCGACTGACCAATTGGGAGATGACAGCCTCAGTGGAGAAACACCGACAACCCTTTCTCTAAGTTTGTTCGGATGTGAGTGTTCCGATGTTTGGGCAGGGAATCACGTTGTATCGAAGAACATTTTTCAGAACGTCTTGTATCCTTGAATTTTTTTCTCTTCCGCGTACGTTGAAGCCTCGCTCTGTGTGGCACCTCTTTCGGCACGCGGTATGTACATTAGCTGTAGGCTGGATACCGGCCTTTTCCACCCATCAAGAGAGAGCGGGATCGTGCATTTGAATCCATATCTTGTGCCTTGTTTTGGCCTCTTCTTTGTTTTTGATGTTCTCCTCGTCTCCTGTGCGTGTGGATCTCGGCCCGCCTCAGGTGCCCGGCTTCAACCTCGAGGATTCTGTGCGGCGGTTCAACATGTTCGGATTCACCGGCGAGACGATGGACATGCTCCTCATGCCCATGATCATCGGCGGCCGCGAGGGCCTCGGCTCCATGGGCAACGACGCCCCCCTGGCCGTGCTGTCCCACACGCCCCGGCTGATGTTTGACTACTTCAAGCAGCTCTTCGCGCAGGCGAGGGTCGTTGCTTCAGATGTTTTTTCGAAAAACTCTTTTGTGTCGTCGTCATTTTGTGACGTTTTTTTGGATTTTGATGAGTGCTGCTGGGCAAGGGCTAAGGTGTCAGCGTCTGTCGGGATAGATGTGGAGTTTTTGGGCAACGGCACCGTGAAGCCTACATTCTTGATGTGCTGTGCCTGCCGGCAGAGATGCAAGTCTTTGCACAACGGAAACGGCAGTGAAGCCTGCATGTCTGACGGGCTGTTGTCTGGTCGTCCGGCTTTGGGGTTGAGTGGTCACCCCGGTGTTTTTGACGAAACTCCTGCTGCAGGGATATGGAGGGCACACACAGAACGCCGGCCGTTCGAGTTACAACACCTCAGCAAAACCCACAGGCACAACAGAATCGAATCCAGCTTCATTATTTTGCATCCCGACTCTCAGCCCCCGGCCCCCCGGACAGTCATGGTCATCATCATCATTTTGCACCCCCACCCTGAACCTTTCCAAGCACCAC